CTCCGGTCTTCTTCTTCCTTTCTTCTCCCTCATTTCCTTTCCCCCTTTTGCTTTTTTTTTTTCTTTTCAAATTCTTCAGCTTTCTTCATATATATTTTTTATTTTAAAAAAAAAAAACAGATCTGGAATCTTGAGTTTCCAAATCTGGTTAGGCGGCACTCCATTCGGGGATTGGTGATTGCAACACCGCCATGGTGATTGCGTGGGCGATACAACCACTACTTCGATGATGGGCATAATTTGGATCTCTTCATTCTTCTATTTCTTCCCAATTTGTCTTACCGTCTAATTTTATTTGTGATGCTTTGAATCGATCTTGCTATTTCTGAATTCTACTTGATGTTTGAGTGGTTCTGTTGCCATTTCTCAATTTTTATTTTGATTTCTATTTCACCGGTGAGATTGTTTTAATATTTGGGTATTTTTGGGTAAAACATAATTGGGTCTGCTTTGAATGATTTTGTGTATTAACAGAGGAAGGAAGAGAAATAGCTTTTGTCGTCATTGGTAGATATCCATATTCAAACATTGTTGGGCTGCTTTATCAGAATGAGTATTTAGCTTCCAAGCCTTTACATTTTGTTGTGATGATGATTGCTCTTGGTATTAATTAACTGTGATTGTTCTTGGTATGCAAATTTTGTTAAATCCTTGCTCTGTGTATTCAAAGCTTGGAAAGTGTTTGGATTTTATCTTTTGGGATGTGATTTCTTTCTGTTTGATTTCACTTATGTGAGAAAAAGTTTTGGTTGGTTCATGAATTTTAGTTCACCGGTGGGTTTTCATTGAACCTTGGACACAATCAAAATGAGAAGTTTTTCTATGATTTTGTCTTGGTGTAGAATATATGATTATGGAAGTGGAGTGGGTTAAAATTTTGTTGCTTAATTTTTGTTTGAATACTGATAAAGTGAGACAATTGAGTAGGATTGAAGGTGGTTCGGCGTCCACCACCACCAACCTCTAGCCCATCGCCGGAGCAATAGTTTCTCCGACGATGGGTTTCTAGTTTTCATTTTTCTCTTATATATTTTAATATTAAATATTTATTCATGTGGGAAAACGCAAAAACAATGGCAGTTGGTTTTTTTGGTCCAAGTCAGCGTCGTATCATTGCCTAGTCATCCTTTGTTAATCGGGCAACAGGGAGATTGTGGGAAAGATGGTGTTTCCCAACGATCATAGTTAACAGAATGGGTGATTTGCCGCTGCTCTTAAGTAGAGGGGCTCAATTGCACCTTCTGCCCATCATGATGAGGTAGAAGTCGTCTCACACCGTACATTTATTTTCTCTAATCGGAGTACGTAATAATTATTCATTTTATTGTTTCTCTGTGCACTGTAATATTAATCAGGTAGGAAAATAGCATTGCAATTTCTGGGAAATGACTCATATAAATACCACATTGCCTCTCTTGGATTTCCATAGAAATTAATTGCTTTCCGATTCAGAATTCAATGGCTCGGTTTATCTTTCTTTTCCTTGCCTCTCTCATTCTGATCACTAATGTTACCATTATTAGCATTTGCAATGGCAACTCTATTCATGCGGTCTGCATTGAGAGCGAGAAAAAAGCCCTTTTGAAGTTCAAGCAAGGTATCGTGGATCGCACCAACCGACTGGCCTCTTGGGTTTCCAATGGATATTGTTGTAGATGGACGGGAATTGTCTGCGACAACATGACTGGTCACGTCATTGAACTCCACCTCATAACTAATCCTATATGGGAGGTCGATTATGAGGTTGATGAGGCTGATGAGAGATCAATGCTGGGTGGTAAGATAAGTCCTTCTCTGCTCCATTTGAAGCATTTGAGTTATTTGGATCTCAGCAACAATGATTTTGGAGGAATTCACATTCCCAAGTTTTTTGGTTCTTTGGGGAGTTTACGATAACCTCTCCTAGGCAAATTTTGGAGGGAAGGTTCCTCACCATCTTGGGAATCTCTCTAATCTGAAATATCTTAATCTTGGGAATAATTATTATAACATGTATGTTGAGAATCTCCACTGGTTGTCTTGTCTTTCTTCATTTGAGTATCTTGATTTGAGTTCTGTGAGCCCTAGCCAAGCATCCAATTGGTTTCAAGCATTTAGGGTCTGTTTGACTCAGCTTATTGGAGTTTCAACTTTTTGATGATATTTATATTATTTAAATTTTTTTAACCTTAAAAAATCTTAAACAGTAAACGTTCAAAAGTTTCAAATTTCTTACTTTTTATAATTTTTTTTTACTCATTTTTTATTATCTTTAAAAGTAATTTTAAATTTTTCTTTCAATAAAAATTTAAATTTATTATTCATAAATAAATAATACAAAAAAAATAAAAGTTTCAAGAAACTGAACCAAACAGGCCCTGGATACACTTCCTTCTCTGATAGAATTACACTTGTCATACTGTCAGCTTCCTTATCAGCTTTATCCCATTGCAAGTGTAAATTTATCATCTCTTGTTACCCTTTCTCTTTCTCAAAATTCTTTCCAAAATTTGCCAGTGATCAATTGGGTTTTTGGTCTCAAGAACCTGATTTCCCTTAATCTATGCGATAATGTTATTGAGGGTCCAATCCCTTATGGTCTTTATTTAATTC